GTGGAGGGAAAAGAAAGAGGTGATTGAGCGCGCGGAGAGCGTGGATTGGGGCGACCGGACGCCGTATTTCAAAGTCGGGAGCGTGCGCCGCGCGCCTAAGATCGAGGACGAGGACGAGGTTTTTCAAGAGGAGATCGGGAGGGATCCGCGCGCTGTCGAGGATCTTGTGGTTGAGGACGGAGTGGGCGGGATGGGTGTTGGCGAGGGAGCGGAGGGTAGGGTTCGGCCCGTGGTCAACAAGCGTGTCAGTCGCGCGTTCTCCGTCGCGAGTACGCGCTCCGTGAGCTCCCTCCCTGCGGCCGCGGTCCTGGCGAGGGGGAGTTGGTCCCGGGACGTTGCTAGCCCGGTTGGATGGGAGGGGCGCGGGCACGGGCGGAGTGTGAGTGCGGGTGGGTTTGGTGGCCCTGGTGTTGGGAGGCCGAAGAGCGCGGGGGGGGTGCACGGGCTTGCTCCCGGTGGGGGAGAGGGGAAGTGGGGCGCGAGTTTGAGTCCGGTTATTTCGAGGGTTGATGGGGGGGTGCCTGTGGAGGGTGTGGGGGGAGAGGGAGGGCGCCCGGGGCTGGGGCCTTTGGTGTTGGGGGGGGGTTGAGAGGGCTGAGGGCTCTGCGTGAAAGTGCGGGGACGGCGGCGGCGCGAGAACAGAAGATTGAAGAGGGGAAGGTGAAGGTGAAGGGGGGGGAGAGGGATAGCTTTTCATGAGGGAGTGATGAGCGCGTAAAGGCGCTGACGCAGGGTGCGGATTTTTACGCGGACGCGGTATATCGGGCACATGGGCATTGCATAGCGTGGAGTGCGGCGGAAACGGGTTGCATTTTTGGTATATGGTGGCGGGTTTGGGGATATATAGATGAATTGCATTGAGTGTCACGATGGTGATGGCCTGGTGGTGAGGCCAGCCTTGTGTTGGGCTACAGCCTGACGGTGGACCCTTTGGGGGAGGACGGAGAATGGGGCCGAGTGGTAGGGGCGAGAGTACGGTAGGAGCTTCCCGCGGTTGGAGCCGTGACGGACCGGAGAATGGTACGGCGGGTGAGGGGAGCGGGTGTGCGGTGGGGATAAGGACCTCAATTTGACGTCCGTATCTGGAGCGAGCCGGCGAAGTGTGCTCTTCATCGTTACCAGGCTCTTAGTGGGTCTCACGAACCTCAAATCGAGTCCGTAGATCAACGTCCAGAGCAGACGAGCCAAATGGCGACATTGAGCAAGATGATAGGAGTCTAGAGTGCTCAAGTTAGAAGCTCCAATTAGGAGATGTCACGATAATCGTCGATTTGGATGCCAACGGGGGTAGGCGCCTTCACGCACCGTCCTCCGCTCTTCCGACGGTATGTACCGTACTTCATGCCTCGGCGAATCCAGCCCCACAGAGCGGTCATTTCCAGCCTACTACGTACCTCATCAGCGATTCAATCTCCGTAACGCAACTCCTACCGCATCAATCCCGCATTCCGTGCACCAGCCCACCACCCCTGTGACACCATGACATCACTCCGCAGCGGGAGCACTCGCCACAATCCGTGAAGCGCCACACACTGCGCCACTGACGTCAGCTAAGGTGGCACGTATGGATCTGCGCAGCGCGTGGCATGCGGGGGGGCCTTGGTTTCGGGTATGATGGGCGCGCTGGGCGGGTATCGGGTGTTTGAGCTTGAGGAGGTGTGGCTGGTGACGTGGGGCTGGTGCATTGCAGACACAGCGATGAGCGTTCACGGTGATGAGGATGGGGGCGTGGGAGGGAGTGAGCGAGGGCGTTTGCTTCACGAAAACGGCATTTGGCTTCCTTCTCTCCGCGGGTACCACGAGCCATGCGCCGTTTAATCTCGACTGCGAGGCGAGAAACACGTCGATTCTCACTCCCCTCACCGAAGTCCGCGACGCGCCCCACCTTCATTTCGTTGTTAGGCCCATCCCCCTCCAGGCACCGCATTGGCCCCACCCCGCTCCAGCCCTCTTCCGCACCCGCTGCATCGAGCGCCAGCTGTGCCACACCCAGCGCAATGCACTAGCCGCAACCAGCCCTCCGGGACGAGGCATGACGTAGGCGGCCTGTGCTTTATGAGGCTAGGGCGCGACTAGGGCTGCTCACTGGTGAAAAGCAGGGAAGGAGCTTGCTTGGCCCCGGGGGCGGGGAGGGGCGGGCTGGGAGTTCATAAAGCGCGGTGGTTCTTGTCACTCTGCTGCAAAACAATCACACCTCCGACTTCACAACCAGAACTTCCACGCTACAACCAATCTTCCTCGAACGCTTCTTCAATCTCCACATACACCGCAACTCTACACTACAGACATTATGGGCGCCGTCGTTTCTTGCGTACGTCGGCCTTCTACTTTCTACTGTTAATAAATTGAGCATCTGCTAACCCCCGCCACAGATCAAGGGCGTCTTCCGCGCCATCGGCAACTGCCTCATGGCCATCGTCAACGCCATCGGCGCGGTCCTGCACGCCATCGTCAACGCCTTCGTGTCCGTCTTCGACATCATCATCAGCTGCCTGACCTGCGGTCGGAGCGGTCGTCGCCGCACTCGCGCCCGCCATGGCACGCACCATTCTACCACCCACCGTAGTGTCATATAGGCTGATGAGACGGGTGTAGCGATAGGCGTTTGATTGAGGAGACGAAGGGATGAGAGAGGTGGTGCTATTCGATACCCTTGTTTTGTTGTGGATGATGCCTGCTGCGTTTTTCTGCCTGTCGTGCGGTGTTTTGCGATGCGATGGGTTAATCATGGTGGAGGAGGGAGCGCGTCCTAGATGTGTCTAGAGAATGGATGAATGACCTGCTGAAGCTTTTGCACTGTGATTTGACCATGTTTCGATGTTTACTTCTTCCTGTCTATGGATTGGACGGACCGGACCGGTGGGTCAGTTGCACGGCTTGCGATATCTCTCCACTGCGGAGGGATTGAGATGCGTGGTTCGTCGACAGCGGTCTGCGGTCTGGTTCATGAGGGTCCATCGCCTTCTGGGATTGAGACTTGTGGCTCAGCACCGGCCATTGGCCTAGTTTGTGGGAATTCACCGACTTCCAGGAACCTGAAGTTGGAACTGAGACATGCATCGCGCCGCTTGGATTTCGAAGTTGGAACTCAGCCACGCATTACCCTTTCTGTGATCCCTGAAGTTGGAACTTCAGACATGCATCGCCAAATTCGGACGGTGAGTGAGGGGCAACTGGACGTATCGTCGAAAACAACGCATCCCACCCACTTGGTGCGAAAAGCTTGATTCCGCGCCGTTTTTCCGGACCCTCTCTCTCAGCACCAGCCCCTCCCAACCCGCATGAGAACTCGTGCCCAAAGCAACCTCATCCTGCCACATGAGCATCCCCAAAGTAGTCACACGCGAATTAGGCCGCGCCCAAAAGCAGTCACGATCGACGCAAGGCCTTCCTTTCTGGAATGAACTGGCACTTCTCATAGCTCCTTCTATCCAAAACAATTTCCCCCAAGTCGCTCTTTGTTTCAAACCCCTCACTCTCATTTTAATCGACGTCATAGCCAAGGCTAATGGCGCTTACGCTAACCGCCGCCGCCCAACGGAAGCGGGGCCACACCTAAACTTTAGTCCAGCCACACCGTTCTGAACTCAATCTTCTCGTCCATGGCAAGTATGGAGAGCAGGAATGAGATTCAGGATGTTAAGGTGAAGACAATGGAAGTCAATTAAGCAAGTAGCTACATTTCCAACCTTTCTGTCACGTGATTATATATCTTGGCACTGCAGCCTTGTTGCCTCACCACTCTCTCGACGACTTCACGACATTGACGGCCCTCGGCATCACAATCCAAACCACAACCACAACCATAACCACCACAATGCCACCACGACTACGTCCCCACACTCCCACCCTCCTCCGCCCTCTCAAATCTCACCCGCGTCTCCACCGCCCGACCTCAACCTCAGCCACCGCACCGATTTCCCCTCCACCCAAACCCCGCCGCTCCCTCCTCCGCCCCCTCGCCTACGCAGCCCTCTTCCTCAGCCTAGGCTGGACATCTGGGACCATCGCCTCGCGCATCATCCGCCCCTCGCCTCTCGCTCTGCCTGGCACACCACAACACCTAGCCGACCTCGCAGAGCTGCACACGCGCCTCGACAGCCTGCCCTTCGTCCAGCGCCTGCGTGCCGAAGAGGCCGAAGGCCGATGGGAAGAGCTCACCGTGCCCTGGAGCAGCGCGGGACGCTTAGTCGGCGAGACGCTAGCCGGTGTCGCGGGGTTGGGCGAGCGACGGGTATTCTGGTCTGGGGAGCGCGGGGAGGGCGTTGTGGTGTTTTGGGTGGGCGGGGGGATGAGCGGGTGGCCTGGCCTTGCGCATGGCGGGGGCGTTGCGACGGTTTTGGTGGAGGGGATGGGCAGGGGGGTGCAGTGGGTTCAGGGCCGTAAGGAAGGGAGGGAAGCGGAGACGTTCCTTGGGGACACGCCGCCGGAACCGAAGCATCTGGGGCTTACGTATGTGAAGCCGAAGAATGCGAGGGATTTTTATGCGTTGCGGTTTAAGGTCCTGCCGCCCGGGGAGGGAGGGGAGAACGGGAAGGGGAGCGTGGACCTGGGGTTGGAGAGGGAGAAGGATCTTACGGAGAAGGTGGGACGGGGCTGGTTTGGTTGGTTTTGGGGCGGGAAGGCGGAGGAGGTGGTTAAGGGGGGGAGGGAGTATGTTGTCGAGGGGGCGGCGGAGAGGTTGGATGGGACGGTTTGTGTTAAGGCGAGGGGGGTGTGGGTTGTTTAGCGGGTGAGTGATTCGATGGTCTTGCTGGCTTTGCTGATGGGATTAAGGTTTCCTGAGATACGGCCGTGCATATCGTCAAGGCACCGTATTGTCAGGGACTGTAAATATTCTTCCACCTCTGACCCTGCATCCTAGTCCACCCTTAACCCACCCTCCCACGCAATTCCTCCACCACCCATCGCTCTCCGACACAGCCCAGCCCCATCTACACCCATTCCAACTCCAAACAGCCTCCGCACTCAAAGAAAACCCCGAAAGTCTCCAAAAAAGCTAGCCAAAGGTGGTTTCGATCCACCGTCCTCCCAGGTGTGAGCTGGGCGCGCTTCCGCTGCACAATTCAGCTGCTTGATGGGGAGTGATTGAAGCCGTCGGTGTGTAAAGACCGAGAGTGTGGCCTTGTGGGGGTGGCGGGGGAGTGCTGGCGGGAAGGAGGGAAGAACGGGGGAAGGAATGAGTGGCGGGTGTGGAAGACTGGCATAAAAACCGGCACATCACGCCCTTCAACTGTCAAAAAAGCGGTATCCTTCAGTACGCCCCCTCCAGTCCAGCCTACCGCCCGTCCATTCCAGCCCAAAACATTCTCGACACTCCAAAGAAAAGTCTAAAAGACTCCAAAAAGGGCTGAAGGTGGTTTTGATCCACCGTCCCCCGGGTTATGAACCCGCTACGCTTCCGCTACGCCACAACAACTATTGATAGGAGGGAATTGAACGAAGGGCAAACTGCGGAGTTTCGAAAGGGGGAGGCGGTGTGGCTGTGGGCGTGGCTGCTCGGGTACGTGCAGGTGTGGACGGCGACCGACATAGCATCACACATGTCGCTGCTCAGCAGCACGAAAAGCGATTCTACACTACCTCCCCCGATCTCATCTATCGTCTGCCCGTCCCAACTTCCAGTATCCTCGGTGCCCAAAGAAAAGGCCCGAAAAGCCCAAAAAGGGCCAAAAAATATAGCCGAAGTTGGTGTTGATCCAACGACCTCCGAGGAGTGAGCGCGGCGAGCCTCTGTTGCGCCATCCGGCTGCTTGATGGAAGGAGATGAAAGCGGCCGGCATATAGAGAGGTGAGAGTGTGGGCTTGTAAGGGGGGAAGGGGCAAACCGGAGACAGTGGAGGAGGGAAGGGGCGAGCGTCCAGGCGTAGCGGTAGCTGTGGCTGTCCAGGTTCGTGCGGACGGGGACTGGTATGGAAAAAGGCACGTCATGCCGTTCAGCTAGCAAAAATGCGATGATCCTACAGTATATCTCCCCCCTCAGCCACGCCGTCGAACCTCAATATCTCGCCATAATCCCCCCTACACTGGACTCTCACTCCCTCCCGCACTCCCCATCACCGGCCTTGCCGCCGCACACGCCCCATTCCGGCATTCACACGCCGCGATCTTCACGAAACCGCACACAGACATCCTGCCCGCGCAGTTCGGGTTCTCGCTGAAAACGGCGGACTGGTGCGCGCATACGTCTTGATGGCCGCAGCAGTTGGGACGGTTTTTGACGGCGCAGTCGGAGTGCGTGGTGCAGGCGAAGGCGGCGCCGATTTGGGGGGTTTGAGTGGGCTGGGGGCGTGTTAGTTTTATGGGGGTTTGGAGGGGAGGGAGGGGACGGACGTTGGGGAGGGCGTAAGCCATGAGGGGAAGGAGAGCGAGAATGGCGATGAAGCGCATGGTGGTTATTTGGCGGGGACTGGTGGATGGAAAAAGTGTGTAGGTTTGAAGAAGAAACAGACGAAGTCTTGCGGGAACAAATGAGGCTGCTGAGAACGGTGAGGCTGAACTAAAGAATGGAACTGTGATTGTTGATGTCGTTATTTTAGCGTCTGGCGCTCGTGGTGTAGATATAGTGTGCACCCTGGGCGCAGTACGCATGAATCAAGATCAAATTTGACAGGTATTTTGAGTGGTTGGATGCCCGTGCGTCACGTATATTGCTGCGGGATCTGGGGAAAGTGAGTAGTAACAGCTAGGCATATGAGTAGGACATATTATGGGAAATGGGAAGGATTGGCGACGTTGAAACGGGAGAGATGTTTATGGGGTTTTGGGGTTGGATTGACGGGCTTGGTGGTTGGATTGACGAGTATTTGGCGTTGGAAATGGCGATCTGGGGCGGGGGTTATTGCTAGAGGCTCTACTCGGAGGGTTGTTTCGCACAGGAAAAGGCTGTGTTCGCAGACTGAGCAGCGCGGGCATCATGAGTTGTATGCCGGGTTGCCATGATGGCGCGACGTTGGTGTTGAGGCGTGGGGCGTCGATGCGGGCCGCGCCGTTTCGAGTGGCGCTTGGCTTTGTGGCTATTTTTCGAGTCCAGAACTAAGACTCCACACTCTCGACGACTTTGCATCTCCACTTTATCGTGTATATATTGCTCGACTCTTCCGGCCCGGCAAGGAGCGACGTCTGGACTGTTCCGGGCGCCAGGAACTGGAGCGGATGCTGATCGTTAATCTAGGTCCACGGAATACGGAATTAGCAACATCAATTTTGCGTACCGCAATATCAAGAAGCGCACATGATTCCCCGGCAAGGAAGCTTAGCATATTGTAGCTTCGACAGCATCTCGGGCTTGAAGGCCCGCGTTTACTCGGATATCCAATGTTTCCCCAGAATAGCCCGATGAGCCGGAATATCGTCCTCGCATGTACAACCCGGCCTCGTCCCTTATCGCGGCCCCATCCGATTACCCGACCAAAACCCACTCCTAATACCCGCCCCTCTACAATGCCGTACATCCCGTCGCAATCAAATCCAACCACGCCGCAAGCCGATACCCCGCTGCACGAATTAGCCCGCATCCAGAAAAACCAACGCTCCAAACTCACCCTTCGCAATCTGCTCCTGCACCACCGGCGCCGTCCCCGTATAATACTTCCCCGCCAAATCGCCCGTCTCCACCGCATCAACACCCTGCGGCATAACCGCCGTACAAACCTCCCCATTCGCCTCCCCCGCCCACAACAGCGCCGCCTCCTTCGCCTTCCCCACACTCAACCCCTTCGTCCAACCCTTCGTCTGCGCAGCATACACCCCAGTCTGCAGTGCAGGCACCAACTGCGCCATCCATTTAGCAGCATAAGTGGTATTAAACCCTCCGATCAGTTTCTCGGCGATGTTGCTGTCCCACACGTGGTGCAGGTTCGTGGAGGACCCGTTGAAGGTCACTTTGATCCCGTTGCCGCCCTTCTCAAGCGCTTCGCAGTGCAGCGGCTGGTGGATGTCCCCGACGAAGTGCACGACGAAGCGCAGGGCGTGGTCGCGCTCGATGCTGGGGAGTGTCGAGTCTTGCACGCGCGTCGTCTGACCCTATCAGCCTTGCCCCGCCGCCTTCGAGAGCCAACTCACGTAATTCGCAATAGCAGCAACGACACACCCCCCCGGCCCGCAATCCCGCTCAAAATCCACGCTGCAGTTATGCGGCGGTGAATCTTCTGCGTCGATGTAGTGGTAAGGACTCGAGAATGCGCCCGCTGAGGTGGACCGGTATGAATCGGCCCAGTTCGCGACGTCGGCGAGGTAGGTGCTGTTCTTGTTGGCCAGTACGCCTTGCGCCCAGGTCTGTGTTTCCGGCTTGATGAGTGCTTGCGCGATGAGTGCGACGGTGGAGTGCCCCAGCGCGCCCCAGGCTAGGGCTGTGGGGAGGGGGCCGAGCGCAGCGAGCAGGAGAGTGGGGCGCATTGTGCTCGTGGGGTAAAGAAACGAGGGACTTGGCCTTGTGCTATTGCGGAGATGTGAGGTCCGCCGGGTTATGTACCGCGTTGATCGTAGGCTGAGTGTCTTCAGCCGCGCCTTGCTGCCAGATGGCTGTGCTGGGCGCTGATTGGTCCCCCGCAGCTGAGCCGATGGAACACCAACAGGGGTGCGGCTTCGGGCTATGATCCAGACGGGAAGCTGGGTTAGACGGTCGCATGCACGGCCCGGGCGCATGGGAGGGGTTCGGAGGTGCCGATTGGTGGTTCGGGGGATTGGGTGTCGATCCGCGGGGGCGCGGAAATGGGACGGGTTTTACCGTACCCGTACTGGATGTCCACGTGTTGCAGCCTGCAAATGGAATGTGGAATAGGTACCCGTAGCTTTGCTGCTGGACTTGCTCGCGAGAGGGGTTTTTATGTAAGGCTTTGCTGAATGGACTTATCCACAGGAGCATCTTAGATATCAGCCTTGGTGAATTGGCTGAGCCTTCGGAGTCAAACATTACCACATTACTAAAGTGCTATCCAACAGAACCGCTCATACCGGACATTTAGACCCTCCAAATGAAGCAACACAGCCCTAGGACTTCAGAGGCTTCGAGCCCTTCGGAATAGTTACCTTGAAAACCAGCGCCTGGTTGTCAAGACTGAAGCCGCTGGCATCGGCGTACGAGATCTTGCCTCCATCAATCTTGCCTACGGAACCGTTAGCTGCGTCCACCTCCAAAACACTCTCATTACATACCATTCTGAGTGATGAAGTCATTATCGGAGAGCGAGAACAGGTAGTACTCATCACCATCCTCCTTGTCCTTGCCCTTCCCGTCCCGCTTGCCCTGCTTGTCCTCACCAATGACGGGAAGCAGCGCTAAACCCTCCCACTTCTCATTCAGAAGGCCCGCATCCTGCGCCCCGCCGTTATGCACGCCGAACTTGTTCAGCTCGGAGTTGAGGTTGAAGTCGAGGAACGAGCAGTAAGTTGCGGGCGTGATGCCCGTCTTCAACGCGCCATTGATGCTGGCAATCGACTGATTGAACGCATCGTAGGTGCCCTTGATGTTGGTCGCCTTGGTGATATCAAAGATATCTGCGTGACGGTACAGGGACTTGGAACCGGACTGCCCGTGACCGTTACCGGAATCTCGAGCCAAGATCAGGAATTGCGTGTCGGAGATGTAGTGCACTTCCGACTGAGCAGCGACCTTGGTCGCATTCGAGGCGTCCTTGAAGATGGGAAGCTGGACGACATACTCGGCCTGCAACTCCGGGTCCTTCTTACTGTCCTTGATGGAGTACTTGAGGAAGCGGGTGTTGAAACGCGTCGAAGCATTGGCACCGCCTGGACCAATATCAGCATGATCCACTTTTGATAATCGATTTCACGGACCTTCCTGGAAAGCGGCAGACTGGAGCAAAACATAAAGCGTCTCGCCCTTGGGAGCAGTAGTCAACCCCTCAAAGCCCTGGTTGTTCTGGCGGCCCTGCGTGGGGTTCGCCGGGATAGTCTTGCGCTTCGGATCCGAGCGCGGCGCGGTATTGGCATTGAAGCTGACCGTGCCATTGCGCAGCGGCAGGATCGCATTGGGCGGACGGATGGCCTTGGTCATCTTGCCCGAGGCATCGAATTTGTACACATACGGGCCATACTCGTCGCTGATCCAGAACCCGCCGTCGGAAGTTAGGACAATGCCTTCCGAGTCGATCGGAATAGCCTTGCCGCCGGGACCGGCACCGCCGAAGCCGTCGCCCGTATACGTCGCGACGGGTAGGTCCGGAAAGCCGGGGTACTTCAGCGCGCCTCCGACGTCGGCGTCCAAGCCGGTGGCAGGGGTGCCATCTGGGCCCTTGAGCAAGATGGTGTCCTGGTACTTCAGGTCGATGTTGGGAGAGCCCGGCTTGCTGATGGACGCGGCGGGATTGGGAGTGAAGGTCAGGGCGAACTTGTGTACGCGAGGGATGAAGTTGATAGAGCCATTGGTGTTCCAGCCCCGGTCCGGTAGGCCGTACA